GTCACTCCATGTGCAACAATCCACCGCATGCAAGGTTTCACCACCATCAGCAACCGATTCGGCAGCTTCGCCGCCAACTTTCGTCGGGGATTCGACGTCATGGTCAAGACTTGAGAGACTCGACCCGTTGATATTCGCGGACTTCCAATGGATTCCCCTTCCCCGATCGGTCGATTGCCGAAGCCGCATTGCAATGTGCTCATGGCACAATTGCGGGATTACTTGCACACTGCAGTAGCAGCTCCGTTGATGGACGTCGGAGTAGAGGCTGTTGACGTTCACGACTACGTTGCGAAGATCGACCGCGAGTTGAAGACACAACGGTAGGACGACATCGACGCGCCATTGTTGTACATATGCATTCAGATCGGAGAGGCAACCTACAACGCTTTGATCGATTGCAGAGCTACTCGCAACTATATCAGCCAATACTTTATGGTACGCGCTGGCCTTGGGCCACGCGCTCGGACGAAGTCGCAGCCCACGCAAGTCACGCTGGCCGACGGTCACACGCACAAGTCAATCGACCGGTGCATTGATTTCGTCCCCATGTACTTCGCCCCCCATGCAAGCGAGGTCGTGTCCTTCGACATTCTTGATACCCAATTCGACATGATTTTGGGCATGTCATGGCTGCGAAGCGAGGATCACCCGGTGAACTTCTACTGCCGTACCGTTCACGTTCGTGATCGGAACGGAGTACTGGTCCCATGCACGGTACCTCCACCTCGCCCTTCGATCAGCTGCCACTTGGTGTCCGCCGCAAGCATTCGAGCTTCCATCACCAGGGACGACATCGAGGAGATGGGGGTGTGTTTTCTCCATGCCCTCCCTCCCCAGGACATCCCATCGACGGAAGCATCGACAGACCCACACATCACCAAGCTTCTCGACGCCTACGCCGACGTGTTCAGCCCCGCACGGAGTAGTACCGGATCGGCCCATCCGCCACGAGATCATCCTCGAGGCCGGGGCCGTACGTCCGCGTGGTTGCATCTACCGCATGAGCGAGGAAGAGTTAAGTGTGCTACGGGCACAACTCAAAGACCTTCTTGAGAAAGGCTGGATTCGGCCTAGCTCTTCGCCATATGGTGCTCCCGTTCTCTTCGTCCGGAAGAAGAACAAGGACTTGTGGTTGTGCATCGATTATCGCAAGCTCAACGAGAAAACTGTCACGAACGCTGACCCTCTTCCGCGCATCGACGACCTTCTCGAACGGCTGGGCGGCGCTAAGTTCTTCTCCAAGCTTGACCTCAAATCGGGATATCACCAACTCGAGATCCGGCAGGAGGACCGCTACAAGACCACGTTCAAGATGCGATATGGGCATTTCGAATGGCTGGTTATGCCTTTTGGCCTTACGAATGCCCCGGCCACATTCCAAGCGGCTATGACAACGGAGTTCTGATACATGCTGGATAGATTTGTACTTATCTACCTCGGCGATATCTGGGTGTACAACCGGAGTTTGGACGATTATGTGGAGCACCTACGCACCGTTTTGGAGCACTGCGACAAGCCAAGTACAAAGCCAACCGCGACAAATGCAAATTTGCGCGGCACGCTATGTATCCCCCGCGGCTGCGGCCGCAGGGTCTAGCTCGGAGGGTGGCCATGTTCATGGCCGCATCCGCGGCTGGGGTCGGCTGCACCTCAGCCACGTTTGTACATGATTTTTCCCATAAAAAATAATAGGCAAAAAAAAAAAAATGGAGTTGTAGGGTTTTTCAATCCCTACAACCCCATATATTTTTTTAAGGAAACAATGAATTATGTTACGATCCTGGTCATTTCCAAAGTGCAAATTCACAATGAAAGACAATGCCACCCAATTGCGAAAGAAATGAAAGCACTTGCAAAGCGATAGAGACGAGAGGAGAGAGAAAGAAGAAGAAGAAGAAGAAGAAGATGTACACCAGCAAGACCAATGACAATTCCCCCTTCTCTCTCCACCTTCCTCCTCCTCCTTCACTTTGCCAATCTTATTCTTCTCTCAATAATAATAATAACAATGAATGGATGAACCAGAATCAATATCCGAAGTTCCCCCTTACTGCTGACTCAACAACAACAACAACAACAACAACAACAGTCCACCATAGCTATGGCTTCCCTCCTTTTGCCTCCTCTCTCATGCATAGGCTATGGCGGACTACTGAGGGCCCTGCCCTCCTGTCCAAAGGACAACGCAAAGCAACTATGATGCTGCTGACTGGTCTGCCGTGCCTAACTCTGCCTCGAGCTTCCTTGGTGCGGCACTACCCCAACTGGGGCCTTCCAGATGCAGCGCCCAACAAGGTGCTGAAGACGGTGTCCACCATAGCCAGGTAGGTGCCTCGCCACTCTCCTCCTTAGCTCCCTTCTTCCTCCTCCTCAAGCTGGGCTGCTCGCCATAGCCAGGCTGAGCTCCAACTGCCCTTCACCTCCAAGCAGCGCTGTATCAGCCAGCGCTGTGCTCCAACAGCATGTCGCCAATCCTTGCATACCGCAAATGAGGAGGAGCTACTTGCTCCTCTGAAAGATATAGCGGCCTACTGGCCTCCTCGGCGGTGACTTCCTAGGCCGAGCGGCCTCCCAGCAACCGGTACCTCCTCCCTTTCGGAGGGAAACATCATTGCAGTCTCGGCTAACCTCCGGACAGGCCCTAGACCTGGGCTACTTGGACTGGTACCGGCCTACCTCTATCCTACCGCTACTGGGCCTTTAAAAATGCCAACTTTTTGTCTTCTTCTGCTCGGCCTCCAATACCCGACACTCCTACCACTACTCGAGTGGTACCGGCCTACCTGCTACTTGAGTGTTTTTCCCCTCTGCTCTAAGTGTCGTGGGCCTACCCCCGCTACTTGAGTGTTTACCCCCCTGCAACCCTCAAAGTCACGGCCACAGGTAAGTACCGGCCCTGCGGGGCCTTGCAACCAACAAGTACCCTTGCGGGTCATACACACACTCAACCGACAAGCACTCAGACAGGCATGCAAATTAGCAGGCACGCACACACACACAGACTTGGAAACCACAGCAGAATGCGGGAATCACAGCATGGCATTCATTCCAGTGGCAAATCCTTGAAATCAGCAGTGTTCTCAGTCTGTGGTTTTGGCGGGTCATTACACTACCCCCCTCTCAAGAGTGAGGTCCCTTCGAGCGAGTAACTCATTCAGAGTCGGCAGAGAATGCATCGTAGGCGTAGATCAAAAAGAGGGATTTAGTAAGACTGTAGGGAGCGAGTTTTGCAGAAAACTTAACAGTATGTCCATCAGCAATCTGTCGTTCATAAGCGTTCACAACACGCGGAGCATTCTTTAACAACTCTTTTCGGTCGATCCAGAAGAATTCGGTCAATGGGTGATAGAGAAAGTGAACCTTGTACTGTCTGTTCCTCCCTCTTCCCTCGTGGGAAACAATTTTGTCTATCTCATGACCGCCATCGATAGGACGAGGTATCATAGGATCTCGGAAGGGAAAAGTCTCATCATCGATGTGTGGAAACAGTTTGGATGCGTGAAAGACTGGATACGTGCGCAAATGAGGAGGCACGTCAATCACATACGAAGGACCAAAATCATCCCCAATCACCTTCATCACCTGCCAAGGGCCATAGTACAATGGAAGAAGTTTTCGTGATACGCCCTCTTCGTCAGAAAACTCAGACATTTTAACCCAGACATAGCTTCCCACTTGGAAGGTCCCTTCTTTGCGCGGCTTGTTAGCATGTTTGATCATGGCATGCTGACACTTGTTCATTGCTGCGATAGCATCTTTGAGCAAGCGTGCATACTTGGCATTGTAGCCAGGCATGCCGGGCGTCAGACCTGGTGACCGTTCGGGGAACAGATAGGAGAGAGGATTGCGCAGCTGCCATCCGTATTGCAGTTGATTCGGTGTCACACTCGTTGCAAAGTGAATGGAGTTGTTGTACAACCCCTTCACTTTGTGTAACTCCTTGTCCCATGTGTTCTGATCTGGAACAATTAACGCGCGAAGTAGTTGGATAACAGTCTGGTTGATTTCCTCAGCCAATCCATTGGCTTCAAGGTGTCGACCAGAAGTCTTGTGGAGTTTAATGTCGTAGATCTGAGAAGTGAAGTCCTTCCAATCTTTGCTAACAAAATCTAGTTTCCCGATCACTCACAATAGTTTTCGGGTGGCCAAACTGCAGAATATACTGCTGATGAAATTCTTCGATGACAAGCTCAGTTGGGGCATGAGGAGGGAAAGGAATCAAGTTCATAAATTTGGAAAACGGTCCACGATGACCATGACTTTTGAATTCCCTGCCTCACTCACCTTTCCCATGTCCGTGAAGTCGATGGAAATCGCTCACCGGGTCCATCAGGAATGGGGAGGGGTCTCGGCAGGCCATAAGGCTTATGCCTGTGGACCTTGGTTCTTTGACAGACTTGACATTCAATAATAAACTTTTGAGCAGATCCCTTAATTCCCGGCCAATCAAACTGTTGCAAAAGGCTTCCATAAGTCTTTTCAAAGCCGAAGTGTCCACTCCGACCATGTGCCAAATCCAAGAAACGAGTCTGGAGAGGCGTATGGTTGGGTACACACAAACGATCAAACTTCCCATACTGGCGGAATACAATACCCTCACACTCATGAAAATTAGGCTGACTGTTAGGGTCAGCCTTGAGCTGCTCAAGGATGGGACTAAGATCCGGATCCTTGGCGGTGTGTTCGGCCAGATCCCCCTTCAGTTTCCTTCAGAGGTCATACGAACCCACAAGGCAAGTCAAAAACTCAGGATGGCGGGACAGAGCATCAACAACTCGGTTATAACAGCCTTTCTTGTGTTTGAACTCAAAGTTATAGACATCAATGTCATGCAACCAGCGGGTCAGTGTAGGAGAGAGATCAGTTTGTGTCTTAATCCACTGCAAGGTTTGGTGATCTGAGTAAACCTTGAAGTGTCGACCCAAGAGGTAGTGCTTCCAATGTGTGAGTGCCTCGCGCAAGGCGTAGAGCTCACGCATATACGTGGAGGTAGCTACCTTGTGGCTGGGCATGCGTTTGCTGTAATACTCGAGCGGACGCAGGTCATCACCATCATCTTGTTGTAGCACTGCACCAATCCCAAACTGGCTCGCGTCCGTAGTGACTACGAATGTGAGGTTGGAATCCACAATACGGAGCACAGGATGACTCACCAATGCCTCTTTCAAGGCTTGGAACGGAATCTGACATTTCTCATACCACGCATAGGCAACATTCTTACTTGTTAGTCTCGAGAGTGGGTGAGCAATGACAGAAAATTTGGGCACAAACTTCCGGTAATATGAGGCCAAACCAAGAAAAGAACGCAGTTCGCGTACGTTCGCTGGTTGAGGCCACTTTCGGATGACCTCAACCTTGGTTGCCTCCGGCTCAAGGCCGTTTGCAGACAACCGGTGCCCAAGATAGATGACGTTGTCCCTTCCAAACTCAGATTTCTCTAAGTTGAGGTGCAGTTGTGCCTCCTTGAGGACCTGCAAAACTTCCTCAAGGTGCTTGGCGTACTCTTCCATGGACTTGCTGAAAATCAGGATGTCATCGAGGTAAACAACAACAAACTTGTTGAGCTGATGGCGAAGAACCTTGTCCATGAGGCACTGAAATGTGGCTGGTGCATTCGTAAGACCGAAGGGCATAACGATGAATTCGTATAGCCCATCACGTGTTTTGAATGCAGTTTTGTGTTGGTCGTTCGGATCAACTTCAATCTGGTGGTAACTAGACTTGAGGTCGATCTTGGAGAAGACCTTGCACCCACCTGCCGCATCTAGCAGATCATCTATGCGAGGCAAAGGGTAAGAATTCTTTCCGGTGATTCGATTGAGGCCACGATAGTCAATACACATCCGGAGTTTGCCTCCTTTCTTTGGCACAAACAGGACAGGTGCACCGAACTCGGACTCACTAGGCCTAATCCATCCACGGTCGATCATGTCATCAATTTGTCTCCTCAACTCCTCCAACTCGCCTTGTCCCATACGGTAGACGCAGCCCTTTGGAGGAACACTCCCTTCTATTATCTCGATCTTGTGTTTGACCGGACGCTCGGGAACTCCACGAGGTTCGGCCAGAACTTCGGGGAATCGATCTAATAGACGGTGAATGTTTGTTGGGACTTCCAGTGGAGGATCATCCTCATCAGGAGAAAGAAAATCAGATCAAGAATTTATAGCAACTACAACGGGATTCGAAGTACTTCGATCAGAAGTAGAGTGATTATTCATAGTAGAAGTAGAGGTGGTAGAAGTAGATTTTCTTTCCGAGGTAGAAAATGCAGTAAAAGTAGAAGGCACGTGGAGAGGCTTTACAAGGGCTACATGCACATGCTCAGCTTCCTTGCACCTGCGCAGTGATTTGCAGAATTTGTTCGCACTCAAAAGAGTCACAGGGGACTCGCGCGTCTCGTCCAATAGAACGGTACGCTCGTTCCCCTTGGCATCACGCACCACGAACTGATTATCCGCCCACGTGGTCCTTAGGCAATGAGCCTTTAACCAGCCCAAACCAATGACCGCGTCGAACGGACACTTGTCCATGACATAAAAGTTCAGCTCACGTGTGACAGTGCGATCCGTGTCAAAAGTGACGCGCACACCTTTGACAGCATGTGTTGAGGTGACAACCTCTTGGTTGCCCACCTGGGTCTGACAAGGGTTCTGCAGTTCCACTTGCTTCATTCCCAGGCCCGCCTTACGAATCCCGTTAGGAGAAAATAAATTGGTGGTTGAACCACTATCAATCAGCACGCGGATGTATCGGCGGTTAATGAGCAGCTTAAAGAAGGTTAGCTCCACACTCCCTTGAACACGGTGTTGTTTTTGATGACTCTTCTACGCCCTTTGCCTGTTTCCCTGCAGCCGATAACAGTCCTGCATAGCATGCCCAGGCTTCTGACAATGCAAGCATACGCGCAGTTTGAATCTTCTTTCCCATTCCTTTTGACTGATGTGGAGGGCTTCCCAAGGCTTGGTAGAAGCGTCCTCTGGTTTCTCAGGGATCTTCGCATTCTTGGGGAGGTGTGCTATAGTTCCCCTACCCGAACCACGGTTAGGCCCCTTGCTTGAAGCAATCTTTTTGCAAGCATTAAGTTTTTCATCTTCATTCACATCAGACTCAATGGCTGATGTAGAATAGCCCATATCGGAGTCCGGCTCTAGATCGTCATCTAGAGACAGATCATCCGCATAGGACTGATCTTCAGCCTCTTAATGTTCATGCAGGGCAAGCTGGTTGCTGCTTCCATACCGCTTGCGTTGTGATTTGCCACCTGCAGCGGGTGCCTTTGTGCGCCTGGCGAGGTCCTTGGCCTCTAGGTTGACTTGATCTGTTATGAGCTCTCGCCAAGTGGTATGGTCTTTGAGTCCTAGCAGGGAGAGGTATTCTTTAGGGGCCACTCCCATGACTACATCCATGCAAGACAAGTCGGTGATTCCCAGGTTTGGAGTGGTGAACAGACCAGTCAAGTGTTGTTCCAAAGCCTGCATGGAGGTCCTCCATGTTTGGCCCTTGAGGGCCTCAAGCTTCAGCCTTGCCTTGAGCGCAGCGTGCTTATCTTGGTACCGTGTGATGAGAAGGTCCTCAAGAGTGCGCACAGGAGTTACTTTCAGCCACTCGGTCAGGTCAATCCTGTCATAATCTGCTGTAACAGCTTGGAGTTCTATGAAACTCCGTACGGCGGGCTCAATATTTGTGCCCATAATCATGCTTCAGTCTTCCTGCGGTGTTCGCAGTACCTCAAAGTATGAGCGCATGGAGCTTATCCAAGAGGTGATGTCCCCTTTCCCGTCGTACTTGGACGGCAGAGTGGCCACCCGCTCGTCCACTACGGGACCGCTGTACTGTACGCCAGTAAGAACTGTGGCGTTTTGGGCTGATGTTCCTGCATTTGGGACTATGACTAGTGCAGAATTGTCGGCGATGCCGCTTGAGGAGCTGGCACCGGTTCCTGCGCTTGTCACAGTTCCACTTGCTCTTGTTATGAGGACTGTGTTAGATTGAGAGACTGAGACTGCAGCAAGTCGAGGGTTAGGAGGACGAGGGGCAGACAATTGGGACTGTTTGAGGCTGAGTATCTCAGCTTGCAACTCGTGGTTCCGCTGCTCCAGTGCTATCACGCAGGACTCAAGGTCTTCCAAGGTCCGCAGTCGAACCAAGGCTGCTATGGCAGCAGCTAGCCTCTCTTGGAACCGGTCAGCATTCGCTTCCGGGACCTGAAGGAGGGCCACCTGTTCAGCAATGCTTGTGGCTCTGGCTGCTGCCTCTGCCTCCCTTTCCCTCTGTACGGCATCATCATAAAGCTTTTGGAAGAACGGTTTCTCGTTCTCGTCCGTTGCGTCCAGCATGGCCTGCCATTGGGCAGATGTGATGTCCGCCATGCCGGAGGAAGGGGTGTTAGTAGATCTCTCAAAAGGGGTCCGCTCTCTCCTCACGTTTGGACGAACACTCCTCTTGCCCTTCCTCACACTCTCAAAAAAAACACCTTCTCTCTCCCTTCTCTCTCTTCCCGTTGTCTGCGCACGCGTCTCAATATCGGACATAGATAGTTCATATGAAAGAAACAAACAGTAAATCACACAGAGTAGAAGGTAGAACTCCTAGCCGGAGCGGCAATTCATTTGGACTTAGAGAATGGCACGCAGCTGCATAAAGAAAAAAAAATAAAACGGAAGAGAGCACTGACTTATCGAATGGGCCCGATCAGATTAGCTGGAGATCCCCTCTTGTCTAACTTGACAAGGTACATGTACCACAATAAATCAGCCAAAGAAAACTAACTGCAGCAATGGAGATTTCGAGGGGTGCAGACGGTCGCAGAGCCAGACGCGGGGCAGTATGTGATAACATGCAGTAAGACCAGTCAAGATCCCCTTGAAAGGAATGCCCTTGCTAGCCGTATGCCCCCCCAAGTTCAGCACAGCAAAGAGAAGCACTGGCGGCAACAGATTTGGGCCCAAAAGGTCTTGTCCCGTTGGGCCTGGTCCCACTGAGTCCCAAAGGTCCCAAGTAGGTCGTGGACCAGGACCAACGAGATAGGTGTACCAAGTTAGTCCCAAACTGCCTCTACCGTACTGAAAAGGAAAAGACAACTTTCAGCAAGAACTTACCCCTACAGCCATTTAGAAATGAAAAGACATAGCACCGTAGAAAGATATGTCATTTAGAACAGATACATCATTCATCCATCAGGTGAGAAAGCAATCCACATGCTCACACACACAACCAAGACTGCAGAGAAGAGGAAGAGAGCCCAACACACCCCAACAGGCCATGAAGCACCAAGCAACCTCCCACGGGCATAACCAGGTCACACGACACTTACCTGTGAGGCCCGGCCTCCAAAGATGGATAACGACTCACCCCCCTCTCTCATAAGTCCTCCTGACCCCTATCTACCACTACACGAAGTGTCCTAGCATAACTAAGAGGGCCTTCCTACACCCCTGTTGCAACGCCGGATCCCCCATCGATGTCTGAAGACCAAAGTAGCAACTTGCAGCTCTCCGATGCAGATATGGCAGCCTTCGATCAAGTCTCCCTCTTGAGGGGAAGCCCAAAAGTCACTCAATGTCTTCTTGAAATGCAGATTCCAGGTGCGAGTACCTCTCACTCTCTACTCCCTCTCGCTTACTCCAATCAGCCTCCTTTGTGTCTCGCCACCCCATCCAATCACTCAAGCAACCTGGTCAGGTCTGATGTCGACCCTACATGAGCTAACCAGGTGGGCAGTATCCACATACCTCACTGCCCCACTTAACCCTAGCTTCCTAACCCTAATCCGAGATTAGGTCAGCCCTAACCTAACTCGGAATTAGGTTTAGGGTGACTAACACCTCTCGCCAGCAAGTAAGTCCGCTCCGATACCAATTGTTACGATCCTGGTCATTTCCAAAGTGCAAATTCACAATGAAAGACAATGCCACCCAATTGCGAAAGAAATGAAAGCACTTGCAAAGAGATAGAGACCAGAGGAGAGAGAAAAAAGAAGAAGAAGAAGAAGAAGAAGAAGAAGAAGATGTACACCAGCAAGACCAATGACAATTTCCCCTTCTCTCTCCACCTTCCTCCTCCTCCTTCACTTCGCCAATCGTATTCTTCTCTCAATAATAATAATAACAATGAATGGATGAACCAGAATCAATATCCGAAGTTCCCTCTTACTGCTGACTCAACAACAACAACAACAACA